CTTTGCATATATTGAGTGTTATTGGCGAAGAAAATCTGGGCAAAATTTAAATTCTAAGGCTACTTAATCTATCTATGAGTAGTACATAATTCACCTTTAAAAATAAGTTTTGTGAGCAAGTGCAAGGCCTAGCAATTTGATATTGTTTGGCTCACATTTTACCAAATAATTACATTTCAATGATGGAGGAGCGCTCTATGGAAGAGGAATGTCAGTATGGATGGTTACTTTGCCAGATAGCAGCATGGTAAGAATAGTTTAGATAATTGCTTGTTTTTAATTAACCAGATTGATTGTAATGTTAAATTAGCAATGGAGATAGAGAAGGACAATAATCTACCTTTTTTGCATGTTTCTGTGATTAGAGCAGGTGAGTAATAAAGTAGGGATATATATAAAGCCAAAACGTGCTGACTTTATCCTTAATTTATTCTCCTACTTTAGTTACAAAACAAAGGTTGGCAGTTTAGAATTTCTGATCATACGGAGTTTAAGACTAACTGGTAGAGACAATTGTGATAATGAACTAGATCGGCTCAAACTAATATTACTTGAGAATAATTATCTCTTAGGTCTGAGTGAAAATAGGATTAGACTAATAAAGAATTTCTTTTTGAATGTTAGAAGATATAAGGAGATTTTTTCCTATATTTTGTCTTGGCCCCTGAGCGTTATCTCTAAAAAGCTAGGCTAACTAGTCAAAAAGTGGGAAATAAAAACGGTTTGAAGGGAAACTACTACACTTTCTTCGGTTATGCCGAATTTTAGAGAGAAAATTGACTCATTATCCAGCTCAGGTTGCTATAACATAATCTTTTCATGTGGCCATTTTTGTGTTGGATAGACTTGTCGTCTCATTCGACAAAGGGTAGATTAACACTAAAGCGCCTATAGGGACTGCTGGGTAAAAAATCAGATACAGCAGAGCACACAGCAGACAGTTGTCATGAGATTGAATTATCTTAAAATTTTTGATTAAAAGTTGGGTTTCTAGGGATCGTTTGTTTCATAATTGTTGAGCTTACTTCCACTTCGAGTGAAAATGTTTGGTGATCAGACTCGAAGGCCGATCCTATCAGAAAACGACAGCGGATTCCTCTTTACTATCTGCTTATTGACTTTACTGGAACGTTCTTGTTGACGTTATTTCCGGTGAAAACTTGCAAAGCTTTCGTCTCTCATATGACAGGCAGCATCAGAGCAGGGTATTATCCTTAAAATCCTTTTCAAGCTAACGAGTTAAGAAAACACACCGACTCATGCCTAAATGCCGTATGTATACTCGGTATCTAAGCTCTTGATGAGATATAAGGTGATTTGGTTAGTTCAAGTCAATGTCAGCCTCGAAGCATGTGTGTGTGTATTTGTTTGTTTTAGTGTGTCTGAATGTGTTCATATGTGTAAGAAACCAGCAGTGATGACTCAAAGTAATTGGAATGTTCTTGTTCATCAAGGTTCGGTGGCCATTTTTATCCCCCTCTCTTTATTTTTTTAGCCGATTGGGCAAATTCGGACACATTTCTGCTTAGGCTGTAACTTTTGTCTTCATGTGAAAGGGAAGGCGGGGCGTAAAATGTGCGGAGAAGTTGCCGTGGTTTCAAAATGTATTACTACTTTAGAAGCCTACTCTATTGGAATAAAAGTAGCGCAGTTATTATTATGGCAAATACAAGTTTGCTTCATCGACAATTCCACAATAAAATAGAATATGTCAATGGACTGGCTAGCAATTCGTACTTGCTGAAAATACTTTCTGGTTAGCAAGGCTAAGTGCAATTCAACAGCATCGTAAGTCCTACTCATATTATTGCGGAAACATTCAACTATCAGCCTCTTTCATCCTTTTATGCGACCTGGGATAAAAATACTGCTCTTATTCAAGATTCACTGGCAGTTTCTAAATCTTATCAATACGAATAGAAAGAGATTATTGCCTCAAATTTTGCAAATTTGTTTAGCTTCGGATTGCAGTGGTCTGGTTGTCTGGGTTACCGACTTGTACCCACTTCTACACCAGACTCCAGTGTCTGCCCTGGAGCCTAGCTTTGATTTTGTGATGTCTTGTCGGTCTAATGATCCTTGGAGTATAGGAAAGCCCAAAAGATACTTTAAATATATGATGTGTATTCATCCTATTTCGTTTAGAATGATAGGAGGACTGTTACATGAGTTTCCAACAATGATACGAGTAGAAATGAAGTTTCTATTGACTTTCATGTGGCCTTGCTTTCCCAGAATATATTCTATTCCAGAGTGTACTGCAGTTTCAACCTCGCCTAGGTCTTACCAACTTCTCCAGCAGGACTAAAGCCATTCGAATGGAGCGTATAATCTCGACACTTCAGACACTGCGCCACGATTGCCCTTGGGTCGTGGGGCAGATGTGAATTTCGAGGGAGGCCACTTTGAAATGCTTGTCCTTGATCATTGGCATAAGGAGTGGGGAGTAGCAAGTCACACTTTGCAGGGAATTCTGCTCCTGAATCTTTTACTTTAATTTTTTCCAGTTCATTCTTAAACGTAACAGTACTTTACTTTATCTCTTACACTCATCTGAGATCACACAATCACACAATCACACAATCACACAGCTACATGTCACATACAAGCATGAAACCTCTAGCATACAACCATTGAAGTCTACTAACTGACACAACGGAGTACAACAAAGAAACACCACAACACCCATATTTCTATGCACATACGAATTGCCAAGTTTAGTCTCACCTGCACCTTCTCATGCTATCCATACCCGTTACACTCCGTAACACCCGCTTCTCTTCTGTAGGCCGGGAAACCTCGAGAGGCGGTGTTGATGTACGTGCATCAGCAGGACTGGTCGGCAGCCGGACGCATAGCACAAGCTCACGACCCTGACAGCCTGAATGATGTGTTGATCGGCCAGGCGCGTCTTGCCTTCGCCGAGAAGGCCTACAATCAGGCCGAGGCGTTGTTGCTACGCGCCCAACGACCCGATATGGCGGTTCGTGCCTATCGTGAAGCTGGGCTCTGGGAGGAGGCGATGAGGGTAGCCCGTGAGTACCTGCCCAGCCGGGTCCAAGCCTTGAAGGTGAATTGGTTTCTTCGAAAGCCTTACATAATTGGGTTATTTGGGCGTTTTTACGTGAAGTATTCCGCTTCATTTATGCCAATTTTTCTATTCATATTTCTCATGAGTACATCATGATTATACACATTTTTATTATACATTAATGTTTTTTTCAATTATTCATAATTATCCTTATATATCTATGAGTTTAGTAGGCAATTATGATGTTGGTGTTGTCAAAGTAAGTGAAGGCCTGACTTCTTCCTTGATGAGCGCACTCTTGTCTCCGATGTCAATAGTGTAGATCCCTTAGACTCCTGAAGGCGACCTGGTATTTTGCCTCTTTCTTGAAACTCCTTGTCTGGTCGGCCTGCAACATGGCCTAACCTGTTCTCCACATTCTACTGGCTTTCCATCATGGACCATAATCAATCGCATTGCACATAAGGCTCGAATAAGAGCGAAATCAAGCGTTTTATCGGACTCAGTTTATTTGTCCTCTGGTGGTGCATTTCATTTGTCCCAAGTAACTAAGACATACCGACAACTGTGTAGGTTTTTATTCTGGTTGAATATATAAAAATATCACTTTGTGTATTAATGTGCATGCGAGTTGAAAAGGTACTCAACAATGCGTGACGTTCATATTTCCTTAGAAGAAAAAAAACTAAAATGTAAAGCGAGGTAATTCTATTTCAGAACTTGTGCCGATCATGAAGTTCTGCTTTTACGCTTGTAGCAGTCAACGTGTGTCTGACGGCTGCTAAGCAGACTGTAGAAAAAGCAGCATATTTCAACATATATTTGGTGATCCCCGAATCTGCAAACGACTCTGGCTAAACAGTTTACAATAAAAATGGGCTTTCCTCATTTTCGCAACTTGGTAGTGTTGTCATGGTGACTTAGTTTGGCTCACTTTACCCGAAGTCTTCTTCTATAGTAGTTATCATAATTTCCAGCGTTGGGCGCTGAACTTGTTACATTTTCGGACGTTTCGCAAATGAGTCTTGTCATTCTCCGCACCAAGCTACAATTCGTCAAGGAGACAAGTAAAGTCAATCCCTTGACCAAACTTCCTGCTGACACGGTTGTGCCATCATTTCCCTTTCTGCCGTGGTCGATCTATCACACTCCCGCCCTATCGCAATGTCTGGCTTGTTTACATTCCACTCATATTCGTAAGTGAGTAGGGTTTCGAGACTGCCAGTAAATAACTGTAATGAGATGTATTCACCCAATTTCGTGTAAGGTGATGAAGGACTGGTAGTAGAATTTTCCCACAA